AAAGATCAAGCGGATGTACGTGCGATCAGGGTTGGGCTTGGGCGGGGGTTGGGTATTCGAATCTACTGCCGCATTGTCAATCACAGCCTGCGATGATTAAAACCACATTATTGTCAAAATCAGGTGACAGCACTGTGGTACGTCACTGGGCTACGTGCCAATCGTAAGAACGGTTCACATTCCATGCTTTCATATCGTACTCGGGTCGGTGTCACCAATTATATAATTGGATTTGGGATATACGTAGGACCGCATTCTATGGTACGAGTAAATCAATATTAAAGTAAAATCAGTATTCAAGCTTTGGCATACCCTCCATTTATGCTATATATATATATATATATATATATATATATATATATATATATATATATATATGACATGCTTAATAGCAAGGTATATCTTATAGGTTGCCAGTGAGCGTGCCACTGACGCACTCGCCAAGTAAGATCAAACGTAACGTCCAACTGCCCGCTGGCTTGCTTCCAGCTGGACAGTTGAAGTCAAGGCCAGCCATGACAACTGAAATAAAGAACAGCCTATTCTTCACCTGGGCAGCTCAGCTGTGATAAATGGAGCTGTAATATGCGAGTACGGTCTCGCTGGCCTGTTTGATACATAGGAATGCAGGCTAGAGAACCGAGGAAGTCACTATTGCGGCAGTGGAAGCAGAGAACACCGGATGAGAACATCACACAGACAAAAAAGAGCATCGAAAAGAAAAGTCGATCTCATCTATCACCGCTGGGTAAAGAAGGCCATTGTTATCTCTTCCGCCTTGACCAACGCTCGAGGGCGGTGGTGCCGCTGAAGGGAGGCCCTCCGCTGGTCCGCCGGCACCACTCCCGCCTCCGCAAACGCTCGAGGGCGGTGGAGCCGCTGAGGAATGACATCCACTGGTGCGCCGGCACCACTTCCGCCTCCGCAAATGCTCGAGGGCGGTGGTGCCACTGAAGAATGCACTCCGCTGGTGCGGCGCCCGGGAGGCGACCCGGCGCGCCCCGCGGCCCCGTTTATTTAGGAGCCGTTCCGCCGGCTGGCCGCCCCAGAGATGCCTTCGTGGGAGCCGGTCGTTTCCGCGTGATGCGCGCGTTTTACGGCGCAGTATCTCACAACTCGGCGGAGATTCGCGGAGACGGCTCGGTTAACCCGCGTAACGGGTTCTCGGGAAGAACGCCGGCGGCGGGCGATGGGACAAGTGGGACCGGGTCTGCGACTTCACGAGCGATTTGGGAGGAAATGAGACGTGGCGGTGGAAAGTAACAGCTGACCGAGGGGATCAGGCGCCTTGCCATGGCTGGTCTGAATAGCTTCATGCAATTCCAGCGAGGGAAACTGTCAGAAAGTCTACTGGGGAGAACGCAACATTCATGCCGTCGGATTGGACTAGTGAATGTTAAACCAAATTAAGAGCCCGCGGAACCCTATCCAGGATATCCAAAAACGCACCCTGAACTATAAAACAGCGCGTAACAGGATCCACGCCGCCAGAAGATCATCACATATCACCTTGCCAGTACAGTCGAAGCGATTCACGCGCCATCTGGCATTGGCAATGACCGACGTCCAGACGTCCCTTTTCCTCCGCCGTGTCTGACACAGACAGACGTCCAGGCATCTCTTTTCCTCCGCCGTGTCTGACACAGCCAGACGTCCAGGCGTCTCTTTTCCTCCACCGTGTCTGACAATGACCGACGTCCAGACGTCTCTTTTCCTTCGCCGTGTCTGACAAGGACAGACGTCCAGGCATCTCTTTTTCTCCGCCGTGTCTGACAATGACCGACGTCCAGACGTCCTTTTCCTTCGCCATGTCTGACAATGGTCAACGTGTGGGACGTCCCAGTTCCTCCGTCGTGCCTCACAAGAACTAACGTGTAGGCGTCCTTTTTCCTCCACCATGTCTGGCAATGACCGACGTCCAGACGTCCCTTTTCCTCCATCGTGTCTGATAGGGACAGACGTCCAGACATCTCTTTTCCTCCGCCGTGTCTGACACAGCCAGACGTCCAGGCATCTCTTTTCCTCCGCCGTGTCTGACAATGACCGACGTCCAGACGTCTCTTTTCCTTCGCCGTGTCTGACAGGACAGACGTCCAGACATCTCTTTTCCTCCACCGTGTTTGACAATAACCGACGTCTAGACGTCCCTTTTCCTCCGCCGCGCCTGACAATGACCGACGTTCAGACGTCCTCTAAGGAGCTGAGGCAGAACAAGCGTTGATGCTATAGAATGAGTACGGCGTGGGCCAACCCAGGATGAGGAATGAAAGACTGGCGCAAGCCCGGTAAATCCGTTGCCATCATCAACACTAGATGGCTTGGTCGGAAAGCTGACATATATTCATATCTCTATCGACGTCTGTTCGTGCCCAACGCTGTCATGGTCATGTAGGTACACATCGAAGTCACCGTATACGACTGTGCCGGTGGTTTGTAAGGCGGCGTCTTTCCAAAGCGAACGTTAGGCCTAGTCTGAATGACGGCATCGTCATGCTGGTCCATTTCTTATCTGCGGCCTCATGCTGCCCCGACGGTAATGGACGCGCTTCTGGAGGCCGCCGTGCCAGGGCGACTGGCAGAGCATGAGGAAGTTGCCCAAGTTCTTTTTCTTCAGCAGTCTGGGAAAAAATAATCACGTTGTCCTGACCACTTGGTGGCGGAGATCAGTGCTCGTGCCCTATGTCATTAAACACCTGGCTGCTTCAGTATATTGGCTACAAAGTGTAAACGGAATTGCGTCTTTTGGTGGCTTCTGGCATTTGTTTCAGCTGAAAAAGGCACAAATTAAAATCAAAATGAAGAAAATCATGACCCACTCCAAAAGCGAGTGGACGATGCCAGTTATCTTATTTGGGGGAGGGGGGGGTTCATCATGCAGTGGCCCTTTGTCAACACTGTCCCCCCCCTTTACCAAGACCCTGACTGCACCCCTGGAAGGAAGCTACGTACTTCAAAAAGGTAACATCTAATCGTTGCAGAGTGACTGACCCGTTCAATACTATTGCAAGTGCATAACGCGCTAGGGCCGGCACCTGTTTGAGGCGAGCGTGCGACCCCGCAGTCTCATCACCAAAAGCAAAAGTTTAAGGAGCTTGGGCCAGATTTCATTTTTTGTGTGCTTTTACAGCCATCGCAACATATTATTTTCCGCTTCAGACTCACCACTCACCAGGGATGCAGAACACTGAGAAAAGTTGGTTGAGCAAAGGCCCCAGAACAATTGCCCGTGCAAAGGAGAATCTTAACGTTGAGAACAGTTCGGCTCCGCTGGTGCGGCTGATGTCGCAAATGCCACACCTCATTATCCAACTTAGTCACTCGCACGCATGCTGTGTACACCCTCCAGCTTAGATGCTTCCCTGAATAGCCTTTTTACGAAAAGAGAAACAGTTAGTTCGAAGTGCTACATTTGACCTCGGCATCACATTGCCATTGCAATCCAATTAACGAAGCCGGCACCGTAGGCAACACAACTGTCATCGAGGGCTTGCGACTTGCTTTTGGCGTCCAGCCTCACTTCAGCATGCACACTCAGTCCACCATGCGCCTATTTCAAATCCATTAGAAATGCACCATCGAGGCCATTAAGTGAAATCGTTAACGGTCACCAAATGACCGGGCCTGGAAGACTTCCCAGCTGCGAACCCCACTCCGGTCTACCCTGCATTTGGTCGCGTCGCCACCACGGCCATCAATCCGGCGCCGCCGCCCGACTGGCCCGGCCGGCGCCGGTGCAGTGCGGCACAGCATCGTGTAAGGGGACACGGTGCCGGTGGGCGTCGCACTGCATCAGGCATTTTGGACAGCACCTGCGCAAGGGGTGGGACCCAGCGCAATCTGTTGCTTTCTGAGCGAACCTGCCGGGATGTTTTGGGGGGGGGGAGGGGGGGGGGGGCGAGCGTCAAACCGCAGCAGGCATTTTGTGTAGCACCTGCGCGAGGGCCGGGATCCGGTGTAATCTGTTGCTTTCTGAGCGAACCCGCTGGAATGTTTTGCGAACAGATCAAGGAGTGAATGTTTTTTTACCGAGTCGCTTAAGATGCGTTCGAGGCCAACCGATAGGTATATAATGTTTAAACATTGAATTGCCTTGGAATCTACTCCGACGAAAAGTTCCAGGTCTGTCAGTGTCCAGGGCAAGAGCTGAATCTCACTATTCAGAAAGAGCCGCTGACTCGGCGGTTACGTGGTAAACCACCCGTAAAATCTCTCAGGACTCTGGTGTTACCACGGCTACTGGATCTACGGCTCTACCGAAACTGTGACCACTTATTCATTTCCATATCGGGGAAACGTTTTGAAAGATGTTGGAAAACACAGCAAACAAAAGATGACCCGAGGTATTTTAAGAGCTACCTCTATCAAAACTGTCACAAATGGAATGCACTACACGTTAGCTACCATTTGTTCCCTTCGCCATAATTTCCACCATCAGTCCCCAGCCTTGCGTTAAACCACTCCCGACCGTCATAAAGTGACTTAGGCTCACCTGTCTTCACTCTCTCCTGAACCGTCTTACCCGTCCTCAGTCCCTTATGAACCGACTTACCTGTCCTCAGGTATTCCTGATGGTCACACGCTGCTTCCCGACTTACCCGTTTTCGGTCTCTCCTGACTGCCAGTGCCTTTCACCTCACCCGTCTTCAGGCCTTCCTGACCTCCTCACAGCGTCCCTCAACTCACCCGTCTTCGGGTCCTCCTGACCCCTTCACCGCGTCTCTCAACTCATCTGTCCTTGGGCACCCCTGACCCCACAACGTCCCTCAATTCACCTGCCATCAGAAACTTCTGACCCCCTCAGAGTGTCCCTCAGCTCACCCGTCTTCGGGGCCTCCTGAACCCTTAGCAGTGTCCCTCAACTCACATGTGATCAGACAATCCAACCCCTTACAGCGTCCCTTAACTCACCTGTCCTCGGGCCCTCCTGGCTGCCACACGGCGTCCCTTAACTCACCTGTCATCAGACCCTCCTGACCGTCACACGGCGTCCCGCAACTTACCTGTCCTCAGACCCTCCCGACCGTCACGGGCTTTGCCAGCGGTCTGAGGCGGCGCGCGGCCGACCCAGCGACCAGGGGGGGGGGGGGGCGGGGTTAGCGCGGTCATCCGGCATTGATCGGCGCCAGTGAAACATTCATGCCCTGTCCCGCGGGGCCGGCGACCGCCAACGTACGCCGCCTCCCCCTTCCGCAGAGGTGACGGGCCACAGCCGGGGTCCCACGGACAGTCGTCGTGGAGGTCGGCTGCTTTTCTTTCTCACGGGGTGCACTAGCGGCGAGCAATCTCCTGCGCAGTCCGGGGGCAGGGTGGAGGGGGGGGGGGGCTGCTTAGCCTTTTCAGGTGCGTCCAGGGGCGCAGCCAGAATTTGCGACGGGAGGGGTGCCATGGCTTGCGAGGGGTAGGGGGCTAATTCTTTTCACGAACGAGTCCCGGCCCAATTGGCAATATCCACGCACCGCGAACAGACGAACGGACCCCACAATCGCTGATTGGTACGGGACCTGGCGTATCAATGAGCTGTCAATGCTGGTTTGTCCTGGTGCCTTGAACAATGGCTTCAGCGCACACTGTACATGTTCACTCGGCTATTCGCTGGTCTTGCTGCTAAACTACGGCCGTTTGGCTCTACATGCCGCCGCCCATGGAGTGGTCTTTGAGATTTAAAACCAAAATAGTCCAAATGTGACGGTGACGTTCGGTGACGCTGCGCTCAAACGTGACGGGGGCGGTGGGGGTACGGGGTGTTGGGGGGGGGGGGGGGAGCTAGCTCCCCATTAGCCTGCCCTTGACTGCACCGCTGGGCCCGTCACATTATTTTCGTATTGATGCCAGGGTAGAAATTTTCATGAGGGAACCCTTTGGCGAACGACAGCTGGAAACTCCTTTATCGTCTTTCTTGACTTTCCCTGAATCTGCAGACCTCACTGATGTCAGGTTTCGTGTGATGCACTGAACAAGCTCTGGTGCTCTTATTCTGTCTATTTCCCAACTTCCAGGGTCCCATATTTGCTGAGGGAGGAGCCTACATCCGTGCATCTTGCCTCTGGCTCGTCTCTGTTTGCAACGCTGTAGGGTAAACCTGAATTTGTCCCAAAACGTAGGGCCTTCTCCCCTCACTGCCTCGTGCGGGCACGTGTGTTATTATAACAAGAGGGCCAGTGGCCGGTCTTCAAGCGCAGTTCTTCCAAGGAACGCCGAGGCGGAAGTTTAACAATAAAGCGACGGCGAGCACCTCGTAAGGAGCGGCCGGTCGTCGAGAAGCAGGCTTGAACCTGGTTCAAGTGCCGGGACCTGACGGGCAAGGTCTGGGCAGCGTGCAGCACTCGTGCCACCGCTCCCCTGTTCCAGCAAGACGCCGGACTTTGTTGAGAATAGTTACGAGCCAGCCAAAGTTACCAGTCAGGCGACGATAACACTCGGTCGATCTTCGGCTGCAGACGATCGAATGATTCTTACCGTCTGCTGCCTGGAAACTCAGCAGCTTCAGCGGCTCGGTCCAGGTCAGTCAGCTTATCGCCCGCTAGTCGGCTCATATCGAGCTGATGTCCTGCAGCCCCCGATCACGCCACTACTAAACGTGCAGCAACAAGAAACGCATTCTTTACGGGTCGTGCTGAAATAGGCTAAACGCGCAGGCTGTCGGATCCGGCAGCGTATTTCAGTAACGTTGCAAATCACCTCTGTTTCAGCGGCACATTTGATTAACAGAGAAAACGTAAGACGCCCAAATATCGAAAGAGCTGAAGCGCTCGTTTCGGAGACAGGTCGGGATCTCGGCGCCCGGTCCCCGTAATGTCATGGGAAGGGCGGAGGAGAACGGAGGAACACTAACGCAGCAGAACTGGACAATTGCATCGGCAAAAGTGTGGGTCGGCGTGGTCACACCATCACGCGCAACCGTACGCAAATCATGGACGCCTCCGTTTTCGGGTGTTTCTGGGGACTTATGCCCGTTCTCGGCAACCAGAGCAGATAAGACGCCCAACCAGCTGTACATCGCAGGCATGCGTACCGTCTGCATACATCAACACTATCAGAGCCGGAGGCACACCGATCATAGGCCGGGACCCAGCCAGTATCACCTTTTCCGAAACTTGATATCAAGTACAAACGGTGGGGCCTGAAGCAAGAGCGGCCGGTACATGGAAACTGGGCTTATAGTCCTGTTTATTGTAACTCTTTCCACCCAAAGTTTACTGTTTGTTCTCCAAAACTTTCCTCCTGTTCTCCAAACTTTCTTCACAGCCACCAAAACGGCAACTCCTTCAGATTCACTCACCTTTTCGATTAAAGTTGCCACACCGCTGCCAGCCCAAAAACTGTTTAAGTGCCGAAACCAAGCCGATGATTCTGCAATGTAACGGGAGAATATTCCAGCGCATTAATAAACCCCGTTAGGACTTCAAAAGGCAACGGGCTCCACTCGTTTACGTTCTGCGGTTGTCATCACCAAGCGCGGTTGTCATCACCTTATCACGGCGCATCACAAAATGCCGCTGACTGGCATTTATGATACTTGCCTTCACCCTGGCAGCATACCAACAATCTCCATGACCCTGCTAGTCCAGTGCCCGAGTCAAAGCTAATAATGCTGGGGAGGGAGCGGGGGGGGGGGGGGCAGCCCTGGTTTACAAACACCCGTGCGTATTCAAAACCGTCAACGGCCAGGGGCGCACCAGAGTTTGCAACGGAGGGGGGGGGGGGGGGGAGAGGCGCTCCAACAGCCAGAGTTTGCGACGGAGGGGACGCCCCAACAGCCAGAGTTTGCGACGGAGGGGCGCTCCAACAGCCAGAGTTTGCGACGGAGGGGGGGGGGGGGGGCGCTCTAACAATTTACAATGACGGGGCTATTCTTACGGAGATATTCTTGCGAACAGATGAACGGTCCCACGAATGCTAATAGGTACAGTACCTAGCGTGTCAACGAGCTACCGATGTTGGTTTGCCCTGGTGAGTTAAGCAGTTGTGTCAGCTGTGCACCGTGCATATTGTTTACTCGGTTATCCGCTACGTCTTATTACTAGATTACCGCTGATGGCCTGTGCATGCCACTGTCCATTGTAGTGTTTATTTTACTCAAAACCCAAACAGTTTTCCTGATCACCAGATTCTGAGATTATATTCAATAATGTCGTGATAAAAAACCGCGATCGAACCTGAGGGTGAAGAGCGCTAGTCTCATGAGCCTCCCACACTTTGGCTGTGCCGCTGCGTCGACCCACGCTTCCCAGTTACGTGCGGTCATGAAGTTTTAAACATTAGTTCTTTAACATCTGCCAGCATTTTTTTCACCGTGGTGGCACACCTATAATTTCCTTGCGCCAATTACAGAAACTTTTGCGATATTTTAGTGTGAGTGTCCGGGCCTGGCCCGCAAACATCCGCACGTTTTCTGAGCGCCGGTGCCAACTGACTACATGCCGCTATAACTCATCTAACACATGTGTTAGCTTAGGGACCCATTTTTCCACATTTTGAAGTCATTCGTCCTCGGATTGCGAGCCTAAGCCCTCTGTGTAGGGGATGGAAGATGTTGATACCACGACCTGGGTAGCCCGGTACCGGACCAGTGCCGGCGGTACCACAGCGGTACCTGGACTGACGACCAGTAGCGGAATGCGCAATGCGCAGTAGTACACTATTGTACACAGTACACAGGTAGTAACGCAGCGCCGGTACTTTGCCGGGCACCCGTCAACGGGTGCCGATCCTCACCGATTCCACTAATAATGTATAACCGACACCATATCTAGGTTTGTGCTATCGTGGAGCCGGTGCTGGGATTTCATATGGCTTCGCACCTCTGCTCGATGTAGACGGCGATAGATGCTCAAACGCACAAACGCTCGCCCACCGCACAAAAGCCCGTCCCGCCAGCTGAGTTGGCTACACCGCCCGTTTGACCCAAGATGGCTTCGGCGTCGGCGTGCCGTAACGCTCCATCATCATCGGACTCACCCACCCGGGGCGGGGGTGTGTTCGAGTCGCTTTAAGCGCTCCTGTTTGCCCCCGGCTGGGGATAGCCTGCGACCGGTGGCTGCGGCCGCGAGTCAGGTGATGTCGAAGGACATGGCGGAGCGTGTTGACCGGTGGGAGACGTCAACTTTCACCGCGATATTGTGCTGGTGGCCTGGTATTTTAGATCAGATGATGGGATTGGGCTCACGCTACAGTGGTTAGCGTGGGCACTGGTCCCAGAAATCCATCTATTCGAAAAGTTCAGACCATATCTTACAAATGCATTGACCTTATGGAAAGGGCGTTACGCCAAGATCCGAGCGCCAGCGGCTCAGATGTTCTTATTCCATCAGGTCTACCGTTCTCAGTGCCGGATCAACGAATGTGGAAGCCTAAGCAGCCCGCAGCCACGCACCAGCACAGACCATCTTATCAAATGCTATATTGTATGGTTGGAATTATATTGATTCGAGATGGTGCATGTTATCCTCCGCTGCGCTCACATAACAACGCTCGTCACCGCTCCATTTGCCAAGACGATGGAGCACTGTCAAAAACGCTCTCGCTTCAGCGGCCTCACGACTGAGCCAAGGCCTTCTTCTGCTGCCGCTTCTGCAGCTTCTTCTTCTCCATCATCTCCTTCTCCACCACTTGCCGCTTCTTGGTCAGCAGCCGGGCCTCCTCCTGCATCATCTTCTTGCGCTTCAACAGTTTGTAGAACTTGTGCCTGTGAGGGAGGACCAAACGCACCTCAAATTCCAATCTTTCGCACCATTACAAACGCGATGCACCGAAGGCACACCCCAAATCCCAGCGCAAACCGTTCCTGCGCTTCCAGCTGAACCAAATCGGCGAACCTCTCCAGTTATCGGCCGGCTCGAAAGCCATAGTGACGCGGCGACCGCGACCCGTCGCTCTCATCACCGCAGTCCTGCGGCAGACGACCCGCATTCAGCGGGCGATAAAGCCTGTCACTTTAGCGGCCCGTTCAGGCTTGGGTGGCAATCGAAACCATTGATCACGCTACTTAGATGTCTGCATCATCGTATATATAGACGTATATATATATATATATATATATATATATATATATATATATATATATATATATGTAGTTTAAGTACCTTAACATGTCATTAGACCAACACTTGACCAAGCACATGCGCATGATACGAACCAATGACGTACCATAATCAAGATGGGTCTCGCCAACTTGCTCCAAAACATACGCGCGACCTTAGATATCACTCACCATGATAAACGCTACGCTGCTAACATCAGAATGGCGGTTATTCCAAAGCCATCTAAGGAAAACATTAAAGACACTTATCCTAAAGACGGAGCGTGGAATTTCCGGCGGCTGAGCCAAAATGGCCACGCCCACATGCGTAACACTCACTTGTCTTTCTTCTTGATCATGCGCGCACGCATCCAGAAGTCCTCCTTGCTCTCCTTAATCTTTTCCTTCTTGTCGTTGACCTGCTCGATTTTACCCGGTGTCACCCTCATCTTGGCCTGAGGAACAATGGCCCTTCATTAGCCGTCTGCATGGGCCCAACAACAATCGTTCCCCGGGGACTTAATTACTGTTGTTCTGTAGGGTGGGCGGTGGGAGATGGGGGGGGGGGGGGGTTCAGTGAGTGATGAGCTGCGCACATCAACCAGCCAGGGTCACAGGAATCCGAAGTTGTAATTTCCTGGGTGTAATGCGGGCAATGAAGTCATGCCGAGCCCGTACACCAGCTACCGAGCTGCCGCTCCGGTTCGGAGCAATGCTGTCGTCCGCCGTGTTACATGCGTGAGAATCAGCGGCTCCGGCTCAGCGTGTAGCGAGGCCGTCCGACGGCCGGCGGCGGCCCCACACCACGGCTGGGGGTCCGTCAGTGGTCCGTCAGTGGTCCGGGTGTATCGTCCGCCGGCGGTGGCGGCCCCACACCACAGCTAGGGGTACGCCAGTGGTCCGTCAGAGGTCCGGGTGTACCATCCGCCGGCGGCGGCGGCCCCACACCGCAGCTGGGGGTCCGTCAGTGTTCCGTCAGTGTTCCGTCAGAGGTCCGAGTGTACAGTCTGCCGGCGGCGGCGGCCCCACACTACAGCTGAGGGTCCGTCAGTGGTCCGTCAGAGGTCCACGTATACCGTCCGCCGGCCGGCGGCGGCGGCCCCACGCCACGGCTGAGGGTCCGTCAGTGTTCCGTCAGTGGTCCGTCAGAGGTCCGGGTGTACCGTCCGCCGGCCGGCGGCGGCGGCCCCACGCCACGGCTGAGGGTCCGTCAGTGTTCCGTCAGTGGTCCGTCAGAGGTCCGGGTGTACCGTCGGCCGGCCGGCGGCGGCGGCCCCACACCGCAGCTGGGGGTCCGTCAGTGGTCCGTCAGAGGTCCGAGTGTACAGTCTGCCGGCGGCGGCGGCCCCACACTACAGCTGGGGGTCCGTCAGTGGTCCGTCAGAGGTCCGAGTGTACAGTCTGCCGGCGGCGGCGGCGGCCCCACACCGCAGCTGGGGGTCCGTCAGTGGTCCGTCAGAGGTCCGAGTGTACAGTCTGCCGGCGGCGGCGGCCCCACGCCACAGCTGAGGGTCCGTCAGTGGTCCGTCAGAGGTCCGGGTGTACCGTCCGCCGGCGGCGGCGGCGGCCCCCACGGCTGAGGGTCCGTCAGTGTTCCGTCAGTGTTCCGTCAGAGGTCCGGGTGTAGCGTCCCCGCCGGCGGCGGCGGCCCCACGCCACAGCTGAGGGTCCGTCAGTGGTCCGTCAGAGGTCCGGGTGTACCGTCCGCCGGCCGGCGGCGGCGGCCCCACGCCACGGCTGAGGGTCCGTCAGTGTTCCGTCAGTGTCCGTCAGAGGTCCGGGTGTACCGTCCGCCGGCCGGCGGCGGCGGCCCCACACTACAGCTGAGGGTCCGTCAGTGGTCCGTCAGAGGTCCACGTGTACCGTCCGCCGGCCGGCGGCGGCGGCCCCACACTACAGCTGAGGGTCCGTCAGTGGTCCGTCAGAGGTCCACGTGTACCGTCCGCCGGCCGGCGGCGGCGGCCCCACACCACGGCTGAGGGTCCGTCAGTGTTCCGTCAGTGTTCCGTCAGAGGTCCGGGTGTACCGTCCGCCGGCCGGCGGCGGCGGCCCCACACTACAGCTGAGGGTCCGTCAGTGGTCCGTCAGAGGTCCACGTGTACCGTCCGCCGGCCGGCGGCGGCGGCCCCACACTACAGCTGAGGGTCCGTCAGTGGTCCGTCAGAGGTCCACGTGTACCGTCCGCCGGCCGGCGGCGGCGGCCCCACGCCACGGCTGAGGGTCCGTCAGTGTTCCGTCAGTGTGCCGTCAGTGGTCCGTCAGAGGTCCGGGTGTACCGTGCGCCGGCCGGCGGCGGCGGCCCCACACCTTATCTGTCGCGCCATCGTGGCGACACTATCGACCCTACGGCGGGACGTCAGAGGTCGGTCACGCTCCGCTGGCGGCGGCCGGCGCGGCGACCGAACGGCTCGGCAACGCAGCGCAGTCACGTCGTGCGAGGAACGCCGCCGAGGACCGCGGCTGGCACAAGCGGCGGCCGCACCGCCCGCCGAGGACCGCGGCTGGCACGAGCGGCGGCCGCACCGCCGCCAAGGACCGCGGCTGGCACGAGCGGCGGCCGCACCGCCCGCCGAGGACCACGGCTAGCACGAGCAGCGGCCGCACCGGCCGAGGACCGCGGCTGGCATGGGCAGCGGCCGCACCGGCCGACGACCGCGGCTGTCACGAGCAGCGGCCGCACCGCCACCAAGGACCGCGGCTGGCACGAGCAGCGGCCGCACCGCCCGCTCGCGCGAGGGACCTGTAGACTGAATGTGTCGGTCCGGTTCCCACCGCCCGTGAATTCCTCGCCGTTCTGACGATGGACGGCGACGGCACGACCCCGGTATTGACACGCGCCGACCGCCCATTCAGCGCATTCGGCACTCGTACTGCCCGGCTGACGTGGAGCCGACGCAACGGTGTGTCTCGCCTGACAGACATAGCACATGTCTCGGCGCCAGGCGAGCAACATCGATCGCACGTGCGTCGAGGTAGGCAACTGCTCCGTACGTCACGCGCCGAGAGCAACGCGCCAAGCCATCCTGCGTCCAGTGCAACCCTCCCGGGTGTGCGATCTGCGGCGACTGGGCCGGGTGCATTTGTGTCAGCACGCGGCATTGCCGAGTCTTGCGGGGTGTTCTGGGCTTCGCGGTGTGGGAGGTACGCGGGTTCGTTGAAGCAACCGACCGTTTGAGCCCGGTGGCGCGCCGCCATCAGGCGTATCACGGCCAACGGTTACCTTACGGCGGATGCAGTCCCTCATTATGGACGCATGATAGCCAATTATGTCACACGTCTGACCGGTCACACCCCGACGGTCCGAGATAACAAAATCGATCAGCTGAGGATTGAACAAAAGTGAATAAGGTGAGATAGTACGACAGCACTGGACTGAGTGAGCAACACTGGGCTGGGGCCCGGGTCGGGGGTAATTAGAACGCAGCCGAATTCTCGGCAGCCCTCAACTTCGCCTCCAGAAACAGATCCAGACCATCTCTCTTCCCTTACCTTTGCCGACTGCTCGGATGGCTCGTCTTCCATCTCTTCCTGCTCATCGTCGCCGCTATCCTCGTCCTCCTCGACCGCCTCCTCGGACGCATCATCCTCTTCCTCTTCCTCGCCTTCGTCCTCGCTCTCATCCGGCGCCTCGCCGTCCCCAGCCGGCTCCGTCTCTTGCAGCTGCCCTGTCAAAGCGGCGCCGGACGCACAGGTCAGGAAAGTCAGCCGGACGCACGGGTCAGGGAGGTCAGCCGGACGCATGGGTCAGGGAGGTCAGCCGGACGCACCGGTCAGAGAGGTCAGCCGGACGCACGGGTCAAGGGTGTCAGCCGGACGCATGGGTCAGGGAGGTCGGCCGGACGCATGGGTCAGGGAGGTCAGCCGGACTCACAGGTCAGGGAGGTCAGCTGGACCCACCGGTCTGGGTGGTCAGCCGGATGCACGGGTCAGAGAGGTCAGCCGGACCCACAGGTCGGGGAGGTCAGCCGGACGCACCGGTCAGAAGTCAGCTGGACCCACGGGTCAGAAGTCAGCCGGACGCACCGATCTGGGTGGTCAGCCGGACGCGTGCACGCGCGACCAACGTGCTTATCCGCCCCTGCGGCGGCGCGGCAACTGGGCGGCGACCGGCGGCGGACGACGGCGACGGTCCCCTGGCGCCGCACACCTCCCGAGACGGTCCCCTGGCACCTCACACCTCCCGAGACGGTCCCCTGGCACCTCACACCTCCCGAGACGGTCCCCTGGCACCTCACACCTCCCGAGACGGTCCCCTGGCACCTCACACCTCCCGAGACGGTCCCCTGGCACCTCACACCTCCCGAGACGGTCCCCTGGCACCTCACACCTCCCGAGACGGTCCCCTGGCACCTCACACCTCCCGAGACGGTCCCCTGGCACCTCACACCTCCCGAGACGGTCCCCTGGCACCTCACACCTCCCGAGACGGTCCCCTGGCACCTCACACCTCCCGAGACGGTCCCCTGGCATCTCACACCTCCCGAGACGTTCAACCCCGGCCACTCCCGCGGCGAGAGGCCCGCCCTCTGCTGCGGCACCAGCCAGTGGACCAGCAAGCAATAAGTTCGGGTGAATATGACCCTTACCGCAAGGCAGTCCACTGCAAGGTTCCAACTGTAACTCGGGCATTACTTATATAGCTCCCTGTGATAATGGTTACATACCTTAAACGGTCTGTCCCTTCGTCAAAATACGGCCGAAAGACGAGGCAACACATTTAGCGGCGTGGCTTCATCAAGGGTGACTGAAGGTGGAAATATTCGATACGAACCGCTCTTGATAGCATAATGATTGCGTGTTTGGCCAATGCTCGCCGGGTTAATGGTCAACATATTTACCATCACACTGAGGATACTGCGCTCGCACACTGTGAGCTAACTGCATACTGCAACAACAGATGGTGGGCATGCACGTCCAACCCAACCTGATGTCACTAGACCTGACCTGAAGTAATGTACTGTAATCTAATCTTACCTAGCCCAAGCCAAGTTGAAAGCCTAACCTATCAGAACAATACAATATAACTACAGATAAAGACCACTCAGACTTGATGCACGAACGTAGGATTATAAATCCGGTATATGACCAACCAACTTCAGCACAAATCAGGTTCGAAGCACCACCCACAGGAGTCAACCTGTGCCAAACGCACATCATCTTCGAATTCCCGCTGCATGGACACGTACGAGACATACGTACGTGATATGCAATAAACAACCCGACGGCCCGGCGCGTGTCGTCCTTGCTTTGCGGCCTGGCTTTCCTCGAAATGCGCAGCGGGTTTCCCGTGCAAACTAATCGCTGCGAACTGCAGCGTTCCGCGCGGCGGCAGCGGGCCGTACCCCGCGCACCCCATTAACTGAAATTCCTCCGCACGCCGTGATCAATACGGCGCCGCACGAGCCGCGCCGGCAAACATGTCGGCGCACCTCACGCCGGCGGAAGCTGCCGCGTGAGCAGCGCGGCCGAGGCCCTGCGGCCCCGGGACGTGGACCAGGGGGACGTCAGCGCAGCCGAGGCCCTGCGGCCCCGGAAGCGGGCGTGGATCAGGGGGACGTCAGCGCGGCCGAAGCCCTGTGACCCCGAGAGCGGGCGTGGATCAGGGGGACGTCAGTGCGGCCGAGGCCCTGTGGCCCCGGGAGCGGACGTGGATCAGGGGGACGTCAGCGCGGCCGAGGCCCTGTGGCCCCGGGAGCGGACGTGGATCAGGGGGACGTCAGTGCGGCCGAGGCCCTGTGGCCCCGAGAGCGGGCGTGGATCAGGGGGACGTCAGTGCGGCCGAGGCCCTGTGGCCCCGGGAGCGGACGTGGACCAGGGGGACGTCAGCGCGGCCGAGGCCCTGCGGCCCCGGGAGCGGACGTGGATCAGGGGGACGTCAGCGCGGCACGTGACCGTCGCCACCGGGCCACGGGTCAGTGACGGGGGCTGGAGAAAGGTGAGGACAACCGCATGCCAGGGCAGGCAGGACACAGGCTGGTCGGAGATCGGAGGGTGCCCGCTGGTCCCCCAAACGGCGTGACAGCGACACTTTGACTGTGACGACCGCGCAGTCGCCGTGACGTCATTGGAGAATCGGATGGCCGGCACGTGGCTCAACATCACCTGCGCTTTTGCGCTGACGATCGCCGATACAGCGGCCCGGCAGCAGCAACTGCCTGTAGACCGGTCGTCCGCCGTACACGCGATGTGCATACAGTTGGCGCATTTGCAACAACGGCATGCGCTGGCGCGTGTCCAATCCTCAATGACGTCACGGTGGCCGCGCACGGCAATTCGGCTGGTCTGAATGCCAGCTGTCGTACTTCACGCCCCGAGGTGCTGGCAGTGTAGTGGTTAACGCGTCTGCGTCAACCACTGCGTGTCTGAGAAACCAGAACGTACTGGAGTGGGATTTCACGCAGGTGCCCGCCGCTGCCTATCGGGGATGAGAGGTAGGGACGTCTCACAGGCCTCGGCAGCTGAATGAGTCGCAAAGCCGCAGACGACGCCTTCTCCACTCCATGCCAAATGAACCAAGCGTACCCCGCAGTAGAGACGGTCTCCGCAAGCCTTTACAGCAGCTGCAGCACGCAGTGCAGACCGGCGACGCTTCACCTGGTCGACAGTCACACCTGCACAACACCACACACTCGGCCACCGCCATCCACATCAAACCACACCCCCCGGCAGCCGCCGCCCCCTCCGCGCACCCCGGGGTCCACCTCCGCCGCCGCCAGCCGCCTCCACCGCACGCCAGAGCCGGACCGGAGAGCACCACTCACCGAGCAGCTTCAGCTTGTCGGGCGGCACGTACTCGCCCCAGGTGACCTCCTCCTCCTTGAAGGGCGACAGGTGGGCCGGCAGCTCCACCCCCGGGAAGTACAGCTGCACGGGGCGCAGAGCACCCAGGTTCAGCGAGTCGAACACCCACTGCGGCTGCACATAGTACCTGCCGGCACCGGGCGTGTCAGCAGCCGGGCCGGACGCCCAGGCCGACCCTGCACGCGCGTACTCTGTCGCGTTGGATTGTGCAGTGGTGTAATACACCGTACTGCACGCGTATTCCAGGTGCGCCATTGGAAGCGAGCCGGGTTGTCCGTGATACCGGGGCATGCGACGCTACGGCCAGGTCAGTGACCATGAAACAGACGACAGCTGACGACACTGCACGCGCGGCAGCCCGCGCAGACAACCGCTCACGCAAACGACGTACTACATGACGGGGGCACAGTTTTTGGTCATAACCACCCTGACTGACAGCGTCAATCAACCTGATGATACGGACAATGCATTTCGGCTTGCCGACACAGCAATGGTGGTGACGGGGGCCAATGCCCCGATTTACAGCGGCGAACTGAGTGCGCGTTCATCTCGCGGGTTCGAGTCCGGCTGCCTGCACGTTTTTCATCGACTCCGGAACAACGGGCCACTGCGACGTCGTACGATCCGAGACGTTCAGCGGGTCATTTAACCACCAGACCGCGATACTGGCGAACGGACAAGCAAAGCTCTACAGCAACTGTGTAAGTATAGGCTTTATAACTCACGTGATATGACCATAAGGCCAGTTATTCTCCTAGGAATACAACTGCGACTGACATTCCCCATACAACTAAAAAATGTGGAACAACGCTCGTGAGCACAAACTGAGCTATAACGACCTACACAGTATTCTGAGCAGACACTCCAGTTGCATCATGCCATTGAGCCTTCCCACAATATCAAATATGTCAACTAATATAGCTGAGTCGACCCAGCATGTCTTTTTGTGCTCCAGAGCACACGGGCAGTGCAGCTTTTACAGCGCATGATGCTCCCGCGTTTGATGACGCAAAATCAATGTAAACGTTAGCGCTCTATCACTTTTTATGTCACATTGTTTCCCACCAGGATGTGGAAACCACGAACTAATACAAAGATTACGACAGTGATACACAACTACTACGATCCCGTGAAAACAGCATCTACGGCAGAGGCAGCACCACCCACTAGAAAATGAATTCGCCGTATTAGAAGACCCGAACACGTATCTAAAAATGTCCCAGGAACACGGACATGTTCAAACAAGCCCTTCTACGGTCTACTTGTTTGGCAGTCGAGCATTACAACCTCATCCACCTAACACGCCTATCCATCCAATACGCCCATGCTGCGGCCACTTTCTCCATGCCCCAGGGACCGGGACGCCGCGGTACCCACAAGCCGCCATACCTGGACGTGTACTTCTTGGAAGCCTCCGGCACGGGCCTGTCGATCAGCTGGTGAGTTATCGTTTCGTCCGCCTCCGAGTAGGTGGCGCCCGGAGCGCACGTGGCATCCCAGGAGCAGGTGCCTCCGAGTGCGCGGATCACGAACACGAACGGCTCCCGGGGCACCTGCGGCGGCAGGGGGGCTGAGTACCGACCGACCGCGCCAAGACGGTCTCAACGCAGCGCACCACATTCACAGGCAGAAGCTCTGCAAGCCTACAAACATGGCAAACCACAGTCGGCCGTGCCAGACACCCCTGACGTCACTGCCGACCACAATGGTAGCGCAACATCGCACAAACCACAAGCGCGCTGCGGACAGACGACACGATTCCCAGTGTTTCCCGAACCGTCCAAGCATGACCTCAAATGGCCAGATTCCGAACCTGCCCATCTCTCCAGACAGACAGATATATTGCGACATCTTAGGCAAATTCCTGACCCTTCAGGGTCGGCCACCAAGCCGACCCCTTTGCCCCCTCCATGTAGGCCGAGGCTTGATCACAGCCAGCCTCCACCGCACCGGTCGCGCCCACCCCCATCCCCACTCGGTCGCCGTGCCACCCCGCCATGACTGGCGCCTGGTCTCCCACTCGCACCTCTCTGCCGATGAAGAAGCGGCACCCGTCGAAGAGCCGCTGCAGGCGCCGCGTACGCTGGCGGCGGCGGCGCGCCTCCTCTAGATCGTCGCCGACGGCGGCCGCCATCAGCGCCAGCTCGGCCTCGTCGTCGGCCTCCGGCTGCTCGGGCAGCCGGAGCCGGCCGAGCGGCGTGTTCAGAGCCGCCACGCGCTCCGCCTCCAGCTCGGCCGTTGACAGGCAGCCGTCCGACGGCGTCGCTGCGGGGGACGGGCGGGCCGGGTCAGAGGCGGCGGCGCGGGACCAACGCCGGCCGGCAAGCGCCACGGACGCGCCCGTCACGCTAGACGCGTCACGCAGCGGCGGCGTCACGCGTCACACGTCATGGGTACGGCGCGGCGCGGTCTCACGCCGCCAGTGCTGACCGGGCGTGCGGCTCCGGCACAAGGCGCAGTCAGCTTGGCACACATTCACGCAGTCACGCAGTCGACTGGGTGAGTCGCCTCGGCACGTAGTCACGCAGTCGGCTGGGTGAGTCGCCTCGGCACAGTCAGCAGTCACGCAGTCGGCTGGGTGAGTCGCCTAGGCACAGTCACGCAGTCTGCTGGGTGAGTCGCCTCGGCACAGTCAGCAGTCACGCAGTCTGCTGGGTGAGTCGCCTAGGCACAGTCACGCAGTCTGCTGGGTGAGTCGCCTCGGCACAGTCACGCAGTCACGCAGTCGGCTGGGTGATGAGCACCACCGCCCGTGTGTCAACACCCGTGACAGCTACCTCCAGTCAGCGCCAGCTTGGGCGGGTAGATGAGGTTCAGAGTGTGGTAGAGTCGGTAGTTGATGAAGCCCAGCAGGGTAGTGTAGAACTCGGAGAAGATGGACATCACCTTCATGTCCACGTTCTCCGGCCTCTGAAAAGCACCGGCGACCCGATGAATATGACGGTCGGGTTTCCGGGGCTTACAACACCGCATACAGAAACGCTGCAACAGCCTCAGCGACAGGCGCACGTGATAGCAGAAGCAGACAAACATCTGCAACCAGTCCCCTGCAACTATGCGTCGAAATCACAGACGTGCCCCGTTAGCTCCGTCCGCACGTCAGCGGGACCGGGACAAAACCGACGCCAACGTCCGCCTCATCGCAAAAACACAACTGCCTCACGACGTGGAGATCACAACGCCACTCCCCCTGCCTCCGCCCCCCCCCCCCCTCCCCCTCGCCCGTCTGAGCGGCGCTCTCTGCTGACCAGCTCGCCGCCAGCACGCTCACCGTGTAGACGAAGTGGTGCGGCACCACCCAGGTGACGACGCAGCCCTGCACCTCCGCCTGGAAGTAGTAGCCCTTGATGGATATGAAGGCCTTGCGCAGGGCGCGCGCCTCGATCACGTAGTGCATGAACTCCACCGTCAGACGTCGGCAGTCGGCCACGATCGCTGGGGGAGGAGCGCCAGGCCGGTCAGCACCAGGGTCAGGACCGCAGCAGAGACCACGGTTACGGCGGAGAGGGGCGGCGGCGGCGAGGGTCGGTGGGTGGGTGGGGATGAGATAAGGACTGTCCGAAGACACCACAGTCACGGGCGGGACGGAGGGAGGGCCGTCCGCCGGTGTCACGGTCACCGGCCCCTCCCCCCAAGCCCAGACAGCGTCGTGGCGATCGCTAGAGATAAAAGCGTGACTGCCTACTCGTACCCCAGCTTAGCGACTTACAGCTTTACTTATGTTAATGTAATGACAATGTCCATAAACCAACTCCACATCCCATATATTCCAAACTGGGCGGGTGGTGGCCTGCAAGTACCCTACGCACCCTTCCCGTTTTGTGCCCGGTGCCGCCAGCCCCTCCAGTCCGCCCATCCCAATGCCGATATGGCGGTAAACGACGTACCATTTCCACCGTCAATGCCAACAGAGAAAACCACATCAGTGACCAGCTTTGCGCGCATACATCTGTTCAGGATTGGGAGACATTCACGGCCTTTCAGGATTGTTCTCCGCACGATCACGAGTCAGTAGCAGCCAGCGCCGCTGTTGTACCCACCGTCTGATATTTTAGTGATGGCTGGCATGATGGCGAACAGCGAGCAGAGCGACAGCGGGTCGTCCAGATCGTTGAGCGCGTCGGAGAAGGTCGGGTACCTGGCCGAGCGAGTGAAGAGTGGTGAAGGGTGCTGGGCTTATGTTCGAAACACGTGAGATCAAATCCCGCCGCAGGATACTTTCTCAGCCCAGCTTCCAACGGTGAAGGCGATGGTGATAGTCTTAGCATCGAAGTCCATCGGTAAACAACGCACTGGCCGAGGGCCCGGTGGCAAACGCGCCATTGTTACACGGTGCGAGAAGACGCCGTGAGGGTCTGGAGGTTTCCCAATCCAGGAATGGTGGCGGTCTCCCGCTCGCCACTGAACGGGCCATATTAGGACAATAAACGGCGACGATCTCGCGTGGGAAGCTTGTTGCGCACCTCGTGCCAGCGGGGAAATAGCTTACGAGAAATGGCGGCGCTGCCATTGGAATAGCATATTCTTTTTCCGGGAAAATGAGAAAATCAGCCCGCAATGTGATCAGCCACGTGCACTATGAACGGTGTCTTGCATACTCAGCTTCGGCCTACACGTATGCAGAGCGAGAGTGCAGGTTCAAATCCCCGACCAGATCCAGATCCGAACTGCTGCTCAGATCCATATCCGAACTGTCGTTCAGAGCCAGACCCGATCCGCCGATCAGAACCAGATCCGACGCGCCATCAAACAATACTTCCTTCAGTCGCAAGGTGCTGACACTCTCACCTCTCCTTGATGAGGTGGTCCAGGTCGTACTTTGGCCGGCCTGCGTGGAGCCGCTTCACACTATCGAAGTCGCGCTTCCCTTTTGACTTCTGGATCTTCTTGTGCCGGGACTGAAACGGGCCGACGTCACGTGGTTAGGTGGGGAGCACACGTCATCACGGTGAGACACCGGACAGTTACTGCCAAATGAACTGGCATGCTTCACTCACACACAACATCCGAGATAGGCTCATTGCAGCACACACAACATCCGAGATAGGCTCATTGCAGATCATCATCCAAATTTAGTAGCAAGGTGTACATGGTTGCGGCCAACCACAACAGATAATGTTATGAGGCTGAAACTGCGTCAAATCTGCAGTGCATTTGCTGATGGAAGGTGCACTGCAGAATGCAAAGGAGCATGCAGCACCTCCTTTCAATAAACTAACCAACCATGCAAAAGCTCCAACTGCACCATCCAGGACAGTTGACATAAAAATCATATCTGCTCACCTTCATGTCCCACATCTTCCAAATGAGTGGCTCATGGAGCAAAAACTGGATATCCTTCTTGTAGTAGAGCGTCTTCTTCTCCGTGGAGCCCTTCTGGGCGCGCGTGCGCTTAACGGGCTCGCGCGGGTAGATGCCCTTGAGGATGCAGAGGCGGCGGAAGTCGCGCAGGTTCACCTGCAGCTTGTCCAGCGCCTGCTTCCGCGTCATGTACCAGGAGGCCTCGCCAGAGGCATACTGTCCGAAGGAAGCGCGCCGCGTCAGCGGACAGTCAGGGGCATACAGGACAGGCCTGCAGATTGGATGCCAGCATGTGATGATGATGATGATGATTTGGGCTTTGGGGCGCACCGACTACGTTGGTCGTATGGCGCCCACCAGCATGTATTCATGACATGAATTTTAATGACTCAGTGTGCAAACCTATCCACAGATGCAAAACAACAGTGTTTGAAGAACACTTTTAGATTGCCATCAACAGTTGCAATAGGGTTTGTTTTCTGGAAATGCTTTATGATTTGAGCATCATGTTTCAATAACTTGATGCCTCAGCTTTAGCCATGCAAATGGTAGCGCTGTACTTGTTACAATTTACCTGTACTTACATTCACACTGAAGAAGATAACACATGCAATGCAAGCCAACTTATTCCACACTTCCCTCTTGGTATAAGGTGCCTCAAACACTTAGGCTTGATACAAAGCCTGGACATGTGAACCTGACATAAATATGGTCAACCCTTATTTGTCCTTATCTTAATTTTGTTCTTTTTTTCAAAATTCTCATTTCAACCCTGACTTGGTCTTCTCTTAATCTTCTCCTTATCCAATCACACCCACTTTCATGAAAACACCCAACTAAACTATCAAAAGCATGCTTGCTTTCTCAGAGTAGTCCCTTCTTTTCGGTTCTGCCCTCTTGGAGCTCTTTTTCACCTTGGTCCAAAAGTCAATTTTTCCATGTCCTTGCAGGCAATAAAATAACATAACATTGCACCAAACTGAAAAGGTGCTGACTGCTGAAAAGCACATCTTTAGTTGTTGTTCATATACATGTAAGATACACTGAGAACTACTGTCTGTATCCCTGTGCTATTCACCAGCACATCCTTACCTTTTTCTTCATTTTCCCAGAACCTGTCATCTTGGAAAAGCTTCAGTAACAGCTTGAACCACTTGTACACACAACCACCCAATGATAACTGATGCTAACAAAAAGGCTGTGAAGTTCTTAAATGGGTGATGTCATCTGTAAAGAAAGACAGCAATATATCATAATCACCATCAAGCATCACAGAAAACCACTTGTCCATACAACCACCTTATGATAACTGATCCTAACAAAAAGGCTGTGAACTTCTTAAATGGTTGATGTCATCCACAAAGAAGGCAGTGATATATCATAATTGCCATCCTGCACCATAGAACTTTGTTAGAGAAACATGTCCCTAGCTAATGAATGCACAACTCAATGTTTCAAGGATAGGAGGCTAACTGAGGGCTTGTGGGCAATTTTCCATCATTGATTTAATAGCATCACAAGTAGCTGAATAAGGCATGCAATTTAGAAATTACATCACAGGCAGTTCAAGTAGGCATGCACTTTATAAATTGTTTTGTCTTCATGTGGCTCTTAAAAAGTATATCTATGGCAAATTAGAAATTATTTTGTTTTCCTACAGGCCTCAAAAGGTATATCTTTATGTATAATACTAGCCCATGTGGACACTGGTGTTGCTATCCATCCTTACCTCAGGCACCAAAAGAATAAGAACTTCCAAAATGGTGTGTGTGTTATTCCATGCATATGATCAAGAAGCATAAGTGTCAAACACCTGAAGGCATGGTTTGCATTCATGTTAGACCACGCCCAAGGCCTTGGCAAGGGGAGGGGGTACAGGGTTCAGAAAGGGATGCCTGCAGGTGCAAGTGCTCCCAAATACAATTGCTGTATATATTTATATAACCAAATTATTAATGAGGGATGTGGCTTACTGTTTATTATCAAGTTTACCTTCTATGACTGAAAGAAAAGTCAGAAACCATAGCTATATCAATTGTTTGAACTTAAAAGACAAAAATCTGAAGGGATCAGGCATTGAATGTCTACAAGAGTGCCAAATCCATGGCACTTTTTACAATGGTTCACCAGACTCTTTTAAAAGTGCCAGAAATCAGGAGCCTCACCAGAATTTTGACCTGCCTGATATCAAGCTTGCGACATCATACCACTAAGAACCATTGGCTTCCCACACAACGTAAATGATGGAGGCCATATACCGAACTCCAGTGCTCTATGCTCACTGTTACATCATGCGGGCACATGCACTGACGTTGTTGTGGGAATGACCTTGCTGCTCGAAACATCTTCAGCATAACATGCATATTTTTGCAATCACACATCTAGAAGTGGTGACAGGACAAACTTGCCTCATACAACAAGAATACAAACAATAGATAAGACACCTCACAAACAGTTGGAGTCAATAACATGTTTTAAACAACTGATCATACATCAGCATAACCAGTTTCACAAAGCACATATAAATGCAGCAGATAGATGCAACAAGCCAGGGAGCTAGAATTGCTTTTGAACTAGAGTATGAGGGCAAAATTCTGTCACAAAAAGACTATGTGGGAGTGAAAAAATCAATTCACAAAAGGGGTAACTTATGAGCTTGTGACTGATGCTTTAGCAAACAAAGACATTTATTTCAAGCTGGAATGAATGTAATATCAGAAACCTGACAAAACTGTTTTGTTTTTTTTTGCACCTTAGGCCATTTAAGTGAAACAGAATGCATTAAAGCATAGTAATTTCATGACAGAGTAGCAAGCATAACAAATTATTAACACCAATAATTTGATGCTGAACTTTGCACTTCCCATCCACAGCACTTTTAACACAAAAAAGTGAAGGGATTCAATAACAAAAAAAACAACAGAAAAATCAACAAGCATAAAATACCTAGAACAAAAAACAACCTTGGACTCCTACACATCAGCCCATCGCCAAGCCAAATGCAAAAGACATATCTCTGGCTTCTGTTAAGATGGAGTCAGGAAAAATAAACATTTTGTCACTGTTTGTTACAAAATACCAATGCTTATTTCCATGAAAGTAGCCTAACTATGCCTAACCTAAAGAAGCCTTACTTTATCTCATCCTGTCTAGCCTACTTCTATCACAGCAGCAGTTGTGAGTTGCTGATACTTACACAGTTCCTACTGCCACTTGCCATGCACTTAGCAAACTTAATCTAACTTAGAACAGCCCATATGTTAAGCATCAACTCCACTCACCTATCTGTTAACAGCAGCACTTGCAATAAAAAACATGATAAAACTAATTTCTGGCTGATATCAACTTGCATTTTTATTCAGTTCATTTGTGTATGCTTGTTGACAGCAGACAAAGTTGACAACACACAAATCAATACACTTAAAATCACTCTCAACAACTTATTTTGATTGCCATGGTTATCCTATATCAAGGGCATTAATGGGCACGCTACACAAAACAATTTCTCTTCTCCAAAAGTAACAAATTCTAGATGACAATGCCTTAAGATGCCTTTTATATGACGTACCCATATACTCACACCAAATCCCAGAAAAACCCCAGGACACCGACCACACATCCTACGGCACTTCCCTACACACGTGTGAACTTCGTGAGAAGACCGAAATGACCGATCGGAGACAAATGTGCCAGAGAGTATTAGGATACCGTAGCTAATTTATTAGCATGCCAACCGCTTCAAATTTGGGTACCTTCTGTGGTATAGTAAGCCATGCAGGCTTACATTTTAACGTAAAACTGATCTTTAGATATACGCATTTATTACCGTTCCAGTGTTGAGCAGAGAAAGCATAATGCAGTATAGCCGCAGCCTCCCAGCAGCCAGCTGACGCAGCTTGACAACCTATCGAGTTCATGTTGTATATTTCCCTCCATGTGAAAGTTCATGAGTTAGCGTCTTGATCGGAACGATGAGGACCTACCCACAATACACAAAATATTTGTGGACATGACCCTTACTTGACACATCTGGTCTCCTCTCCAACCACCGGAAACGCTCATTTGGCGCCCTATGCAACTACAAGGAGCCGGTAGCGAAGCAATCGCTTCAAATATGATGATGATCTTGCTTGGAACATTTCTGTGTTCCAGCAGTAAAATGTGAAACCAAGCTCAACTTTTTGCCGTTTTGATCAAAAGACACCCCATAATCGTATTGCTGGAAATGCTTATGTACGGTGTTATCTAGCGAGAAGAAATATAAATATAGTTCAGATTTCCCGTCAGCAGGTGTCAGCACGTTCGACCTTGCGTTTGGTTGTCACTGAACATAGACTCATTCTGGCCGCGCGGTGGTGTTGGTTGGACACTTCTTACTAGCGAGTGAACGACAACCATTTTATCGGGGTCTAGGCTTGTGACGTCACTAGAACGCAACAGTGCGATGTGGGCGAATGTGCTGCTGGTGGTCGAACGTGTCGCCATGTGGTGTTTGTGAATTTTTGTGCATGTGACGAAAAGCGATGGTATACTCATGAGGGCGTTAGGACAAAATGGTCAGAGAGACTAGACATCTCTGGGTTGGAAATTTGCCTGAAAGTGTTACCGAGGAACGAATAAAGGAGCATTTCAAAAGGTGAGTTTCAGCTTGACTTCTAGAAAGATACGTTCGGTGCAAAGGTACAGTGCCGATTCAGCATGTGGCGCGCAGATCTTGTTAGCTACGGACCTTTCGTTTGATCTTTCTTAATCCTCATGTGATGTCTGGTGCAGTGGATGTCTCATGCAGTGTGGATCCCCGGGAAAATGTTTTGATGCCCCCACGCACTGCTCATTAGATCTGCCCCGAGTTCCACTGGTCATGGCGGCCACCTTGTGGCTCGAAACGGGAAGTGTCCTGGGGGTTTAAAAGCTCGTGAAACGGGTGGGATAGTTAGGTTCTGTTAACCCTACTTTGTCAGTTATTGTGGCAAATTTCCTTGGTTACTGTAGCAGTGATGCTTGCATACTTCGTTCCTTGGGTACCTTCCTAGGCAGTTCGCCATAAATCCTCAACTGAATATGTCATACCCAATTCTAAGAAACCTCACATTTTTACCTGCTAATGCAGTATTGAATGCTTTTTTCTATGAAAGTTGCAGATGGGAGAGGGCATAGGGCTCATGTCATGGAGTTTACATGCATTTTGTACCCAATGGCTGCTGAACTTTTTGGAAGATTTCTGCAGTGAATCAGGAACTGTGGGGACATCAGTAGATTCCATGGTGGGCCAGTCAGCAATCCATGGTAAGCATGCTGACAAGGTAATTGGGGCAGGTGTGATCATGCCTCAAAAAGGAAAGTGAGCTGCTCCATTGGGGGCAAATTTTGTTGAATCTTGTCCTCTAAGCATAATTTCCTATCATGTGGGTCATTTTTAGTGATCTTCCCAGTTTGGTGTGTCATGGAACACAGTATGATGACCTCATTACTCCAATTCAGTAGCTTAATTCCATACAGTCCAATAAGGTGAGTCAAATTAGAAGTTGGTGCCCTCATCTGTCCCAACATGTCATCTAAATCTGCCATGGATGCAGATTTGGTGGTAGATAGGGATTACCATGGTGCTGGTAAGTTTTGTGGCTCTTTGCCTCCTGGATTGTACAGTATCTAAAAATTTTCAAAGTTATGATCACCTTTTGGTTGTATCTAAAAAGGTATTATTCAGTTATCATCAGCATGGGTATGATTGTTCCCCCATGACCAGAGATATTTATGTGCCTGTTTTTTTTTTATTTTCTCATGATGGGGCAGGAAAGCCATCAGTCCTCACATTCAGCTCTTCTGTTCATGGAGTGTAGATCCATGTGATCTGTCCTGTCTATCTATCTGATCTGTAGGTGCCGCAGGAAGGGGTGCAGGATTTTTAACATGGTGCTCATTATGTGATGGATCAGGTCTAATTCCATCAGTATTTCTTAACATCATTTGCTTTCCTGCAGTCCAAGAGCCTTTGCTCTGGCTGACAACATACCATACATGATTTGGAACATCAGCTTTTGTTTGGTTCCTTGATAACACAGCATGTCTTCCACCTTACAGTATCTTACCTTATGTAACAGATAGCCAGGGACCCGTTGGCCCCTGGATCCTGCTCTTTCCAAGGCCGTAGTCGTCGCAGATCGCCCGCTCTAGTGCGCAGTGCTTTGGATGGTTTGAACCCATTGCCTTGGGGGGCATCGAGCCTCCCCCAAGTCGGCTGAATGCGGCCGATCGTCCCCTCGTCCGTGTGGAGGCTGGAGTGACAGGCGCCGACGGACTGTGTCTGACTGCTGGACACTGCTGCCGGCTTTTGCACTGCCATTGACGCCTCGTCCTTCGCCCATCTGGTTTGTCACGTGACGCCCGCGGAACTCCGCCGAAGTGCGGATCTTTTAATTATTCATCAAATGCAGTGCGGTTTGGGGTTGGTGATATAGTTGCACATGTATGCACCATCAGTCTGCTCATGAAGCGAAGCGGCGTCAGGACAGCGACGCGGCTCGATTTGTCGTGACTGGGCCCACGAATATGGCAAGGCTAATGCGCGCTTCTCAAGAAAACCGAGAACCAAAGGTTTCATCACCGCGGCGTCACCGTAAAGCGGCGTCGTGTGTGTGGCAAACTTCCTCGACGGTCCACGGAACCATACTGACCTATGTTTGATATGGCTGAGGGACGGAAACCAGAGTAGGCGTGCAGCGTAGCCGGTGCAGCCGCGCTAGCCTTCAGAAAAGTGACGTTACACCATACGGCATTGCTAGCTTTAAGCGTGGCATAGCCCGCAATTGGGCGTCCTCGGAAGGTGCGCCACCGCTGAGGGGTTAGAGCACAAAAGATCGCAGATGTAGCTATCTGCATTAGATGGCGTCTTGCAATTGACAGTTGACCTAGGGAGCCGGTTGCGGTGCCACTGAATCTGAACGCTGAACGGAATTTTCCGAACTTCGCTGGCGCTGATGGCAGCTGCACCGAACGGCTATAGAGCCCATCAGAGTCGTTTAGAGGAAGCACTCCGCTCCAGCGCTTCCCACCTGATGGCGCCCATTCTTTGCTGAGCGAACCGCTCGGCACGGGTGCGCGTGCCGGCGTCTGGAGCGTGTAAATATGCCTGCGAATCTTGTCCATCATCGCGTCTGCCTCCTGTTGCGTCACTAAGCTGAAGGCCGAGCTTCTCCTCGCCCGCATCCTCTAGTGCTTGCAATCATGACGTTGTCCTGGGATGCATTAGACAACCCTGCCGCGGGCGCGACGCTCAAACGGCGTCGGACGTGAAGGATGGCTGGTCAGGTTATGAACCCGGTGCGTAACGAGTCGAGCATAGAGCCAGAATGGCTCTCATCGGTAGCTGAGCTGTTGTTAACATAAGTCAGGTGAATCAGACGGCAGCGACCGTTAATACTAAATTCCAGAACGTATGCGGAATATGACACATAAACCGCGGCAATTTCCCTGCTTCCTGAACTTGTTTCACCCGCAGATGCCTCACTTCACCCATATTTTCTAAATCCTGGTGTATGAATATTGTTTTTGCACTGCACAGCAATACTGTAACCATGCGTTTTGCGGTAATTGAGTGTATTTTACACGTCATTCGGGGCTGCCTCGTGTCAGTGCCATTGTCGCGACAGTTTTCCACTTAGCATCTTAAGAACCTGGGCCTTGCAGCAGTAATACGTTGGCGCAAGCTGATTGTTGGGACACTGCCAGCGGCGATTGAGAAAACCACTGCGGCAGCCAGCCACGCGTCAACCACGTGCTCCTTGCCTGGACAAATCCGCACGGGTGTTACACCGATCAGTTCGGAAAACAGTACTCCTTGAGGAGTCGATATCAGGCATATTTACACCATGCAACCCACGCGTGCCGTCGGCGTCACGCTTCTCGAAGCGCCGCCTTGTCACGATCCGTCGATCAAAGCAACCTCGCGCGCCACGACTTCCACAATTTCGTCCTAGGTCACGTGGCGAAGAGCCGCCACCCTCGGGCACAGCAAGGCTGCGGCGCTCAGTTACACCAGTCCACAGTGGGCGGGTGATTTTCTCTATCTGCCGAGCACGGATAAGGCCATCGGTGGCTCGCTCAGCGTGCGTGGGGCGCAGTTTTTTTTTTACGGGACGCTTACCCATCCGTATCGTGACCGGTGACGAATCGACAAAGACGGCATGTCACCGACACAAAGAATGATTTCAACTTCGGCGAAGTCATGGGCGTTCGATCCTGGCAGGGAAGAGTTGCGTCGGGGATGTACCGTTACCAGTGTGGGCCGGTTCCTCGGGCCCCCGGGTGTGCTCAAGCGTTTTTTAATGCACTCGATCTTCCACCGGCCGGTCCGCCTTTTTCTCTCTACGGTGTCCATCGTCGCAAGTAAGCCCAAGCCCGTCGGAAGCCCGTAGTCTCAGCCCGAGGTGCGGCTGCCGGGCACGACGTTGGACCGCACTGAAAGCAAGGTCCGTCTATCCGTCCGACCGAACCATCCGTCAGGAGAGACGATCGATCCCACATCGCGTACTCCCTTCCCTCCAGCTTGATCGTGTGCCGAGTGAACACGGAACATGCCAGCGCGCGGCTCTGCGGCACCACCGCGCGGTGTAGGCAGTGACCAGTCGTAAGCGGACGTTCCTGTTCAGTTTGTGGCCGTCGTGACGGACGTGCGGTGCAGCTGCGTACAAAGTGAGCTGATACCATTGTGGAATGGCAGAACGGTAGCGACCCGATATCCGAGCGCCGCTCGCTGCGGCAGCGCGGCCGTCTCGCGCTCGGGGTCCCAGCTCGGGGGGGGGGGGGGGGCGGTGTTCCGCGCTCGGCGCGCATATGGCCGTCCCTGCGGGCGAGACGTTTTCATTTGGACCATGCAGCTGGCGCCTCCAAATTGCTCCGAAGTCAAATCTCATGGCCGGCGCGGCCACAAGCCGGCATCTGGGTACGGCACATAAATAATATCTGTGTGTACAGAATACCTGCCGGGTCTCGTAATAACGCGGGCTGGGGCCGCTCGGTTTGGTGCGCCTGGTGCTTTCAGAATTCACCGGCGCCGCGGAGCGGGCTGCCGGTCGATGGCGCCACGACTCGCTCCGGCGGTTCTGAGTCATCGCCGCCATCATGGCCGCCGTCCGGGTGGCCGTATCGCCCCGTCCCAGGCGGGCGGTGGCGCGTTGGGGCGCCCGACCACGCGCGGGGGACCGGGGACGGCTGCGTGGATTTGGGATGGCTCCGTGGCGCTGTTGAGCCGGCGTATCTGCGGCGAGCCGTTCAGATGTCCAATAAGTACAGATTGGTCCTGAGCAGCACTGCGTGGTTTTATGTGAATACTGCGCCATTAGGATGTCATGTTTTAAGATTCTCGTTCCAGATCCATCTGTGCAGTGATTTACACCCGCTCCACGTCATGGTAGTGCCCGCCGCTCGCTGCGGCGGGCTCAGTCGCGAGCACGGGCGTCACGTCCGCGGGTCGCGCGCGGCGCCGGCCAGACGGCATTGGGGCGACCTCATCCAGCACTACCCCAGACGTTTGGTTTTCGCTTCCTCGCGTATCGGCGCCTCTGTACGTGCGACCATTTCTCAGATGCCATGGCCGGTAGTCAGCATTGCGCACAGCACACCAACCAAACAAGCGTGTTTATTCCGCGGCGTCCGTGAATTGGCGAGCTGCCAAGTCTGGACCCGGTTTTGTGGTGGGCCGTGCGATAGCATCAGGCCGGGCTGGGCTGGTCACCAAGGGCCCGATACCGGCCGGGCCAGGCTACAAGCGCAGCCGTGGCCCGTCCGCCTGCCTGCGACAGCGCCGGTGCGCCGCGCGGGCAGGGCCGGCGGAGCGGCGACGCCGTCTGAGTGTCGCGGGCTCTGGTGGACCGGTCCTGGTCGCGCTCGGCCTCGCCGCGCCCCGGTCTGTCGCCCGCATTCGCTGCAAACGCCGCTGGACGCCAGGGGAGTGCGTGCGCCTAATTGGCTCCAGCTGGTTAAGAGGTTGGGAACGCCGTGCGGGAAGCAGGCGGCGCATGCGGGGGCGACGTTTGGCGGTATGGGCAGCACCACACCAGCGAGCGCGTGACATTCTGAGCGTGATGGCTCACAATCGTCGCGTGGCGACGGGCTGCGCTCAGTCCCTTCTTTTGTAATAGCTAACGATCGTGTTACTTGCTTCAAATGCGGGTGGTTTCAAGAAATCGACTCCCGCTCCGCGATTCTTCGGGGGAAGACCACACGAAATGACAAACTCAAAGCGAGGTCTTAAGATTCCGGCTGTCGGTGATTTTCCAGCCCCCCCCCCCCCCCCCCTCCATGTTTACACAACCTTGTGGGCCGGCCGACCACCCGCGCCAGTGCTCCGCCAACCAGCCGGAGGTAATCCAGACATCACGCCCGTACACCGTCCACCGACCTCCGCCGGTGGACGGCGCGTGCGTGAAGGTGACCCCGCATCGCCTCCGCGACGCCGACACCGTCCGGTCTGGCTCCCCGGCGGCGGACAGGGTCCGGAACCGCGGCGCTACCAGCCTGGCCCAAGTGGCAGGAGTGGAGGCGACCCTCCAGCCTGTCCAGCGACATCGAGGGTTCGATCCTTGCAGCGGCGGTGGAACACTCGGGCGGGACATTGCCATGCCTGTTGAGTTACCAGTCTGGCCTGGGCGACGGGAGCAGTGTCTGAGCCCGAGCCCTGACCTGACCTCTGCGCTGCCACCACCACGGTCCGGCCTTTGATGCGCTCGCCTAAAGCAACGCCAGCAGTCACAGCCACCGTCGACGGACCTCGCCAGGCCGTCCTAAGGGTTCCAGCCAAGCCGGCGGACTGCGTTTGGTACCTCGCCTTTCTGTCTCGAGCGGGGTGACGCGGGAGCGCCGTGGCACCCACCTCACCTCCCGGCCGCCAGCGCGCGACTGCTCCGTCCGCCCGCCGCCCGGCCGTACTGCGCATGTGCGAAGCCGACGTGGCCGGCCGACACCGTCAAGGAGAAAGAAGGGAGAAATGGTGCCCGCAGCCCATGTCCAAATGACGGGAATAGCTAATGAAAGCCGGGAGGGTTTTGGCGTAAATAATTGGCACCAGGCGCGAGGAACCGAGCGCCGAGCCGCTGCGCCGTCGTGCGGCGGGCGGCGTAGCGTAATGGAGCCGCGATGACATGTGGCGCCCGACACAGCGGGCCAGCACGCCGCCTTTGAAGACGTGACCGGCGTCACCGTTAAAGTGCGCGCCGCGTTCGGCTGGCTGCGCGGGCGGCGGCGGCGCGGCGGCGGTCGCGCGACGCGGAAATGACGTCTCGGTCTGAGCCGGCGGCGGCCGCGGCCGAGCGAGGCCGTTGGCCCTGCCCCCCCCCCCCCCCCCCCCCTGCTCGGACGCGACGCCGCTCGTCATGCGAGGCACTCGGCCCGGACGGCGGCGCGGTATTTCGAGAGCCGAGTTTGGCAGTTGGGTCCGCGCGCGCCGCCGCCCGCCGCCGTCGGAGTGGCAGGCGTGCCGGCTGCCGGCCGTGACAGCCAGGAGAGCGGGTCGGCGCGCCTACCAGGCGCCCGCCAGCGCTCCGAACTGCCACCGGCGCAGATATATCCCTCCACTGGGACGCTGATAAGACAGGAGATTCCTGAAATCCTGGCCGGTGGTGGAATCTTTTTTGCGCAAGCAGATTCTCGTTACGGCTGAAACAGGGCTGCAATCTTCAAAGCCGTGTACCGGATGAGTGTTGAACCGCGGCGATGGACCACAGCACGTGGCCCGCCGCCGCCCGCGCAAACGGTTGGATACTGCACTCCCCGAGTTGAGAATGTACTTCGTGCCTCTAAACACAGCTGGGGACAGGCGGACCCTCACCGCCACGACGTTAGTCACGCCGCTCCAGAGCGGCGCACGCGGAGGTGACTTCGGTGCGGCGGTTCGCTGGCACACTGGAGAATGACATCAGCATGACAACTCCGCATACATCATCACGTGGTATGCAGATTGATTCGTTCATCCATTCACCATTACTGACGGCTTGCCCGTACCGTGCGTTGACGGCGCTTCCCCTTTCCAGATACGGCCGCGTGCAGAGCGTGAAACTGCTGTCGGCCGACAGTGCGTCCGGTCCGGCCGCGACAGTAGCGTTCATCGACATCAAGTCGGCGGCCAAGGCGCACAATGCCGACAACCGCGTGGAGGACCGTCCGCTCATCACCGAGTACTACGACCCGAACGGGCGGCCGCCGCTGGGCGACGAGCCGGGCCGCCCGCCGCCTGGCGTCGCCCCGTACCCGGCCGGCCGCGGCCGCGGCGCCGGCTTCAGTCGCGGGTGAGTAGCGCGCCCTGCCCTGCCCTGCTCTGCCCTGTCGTACCCTGTCGTGTCCTGCCCCTCCCTGCCCTGCTATCGTGCCCTGCCATCGTGCCCTGCCCTGCCCCGCCGCCGTGCCATCTTCCGCTCGCGTGCCTGCGCCGGTGAACCTCTGCCGGTGCCCGTGCGCCGAGGCCGGTCGCGGTGGCGCCGCTCCAGCCAGACCTCTCCGACGCATGACCGTCGTCTCCGTGCGCCGCGCTGTGCCGTGTCGCGTCTGGGCAGATGGCGCTTGGACGGTCGACCCGCGCGCGTGCTGTGCCGCGCGCTGTGCCGCGCTGTGTCGCACTGCGCGTCGCAACGAGACGGTGGCGCCGAGGAGCGACCCAGCGTGGACGTCGGCGACGCGTGCGCCCGGCGCCCCGGCGACTGTGTGTGGCGGCCATCCCGTGACGGCGACCCGGCGGCGGCCGACGCTCCGCGACGGGACGCACGGCGGATCCCGCGTCCGTTCCTCCCGCAGTCCGCCCGTCCTCTGGCCCGCCCGTCCCGCCCGCCCGGCGGCCGCCGGCGGCTCGTCGGCAGTCGGCGGGGCCAGCTCGTGACTGGCCGTGCCTGCCTCGTGATGCGCCGTGCCGGCCTGGGCGGCGCTCCTGGGCCCCGCCTGTGTCTGTGTCCGTGTCGCCACACGTGCGCTGACGGAGAGACCTGTTTGACCGTTATGTAACTGTTCATCGTGCTTGATTATGTCGAGTCTGGCAGCGTCAGCCTGTGCACTGCATGCATGATTTTGCGGCGCAGGTGTGTTTGCGCAGCGCTGGTCGGGGCGCGTGCCTTGTCAGCTGCAATGTGTGGTGCATTAGGTGGTGGATACCGAGGCTCTGAGCACGGCCGCAGTGGCCGGAGCAGTGCCATCGGTCGACATGTAACCGAGCGTCTATCATTGTGTCTGGAAACAGACCGGCAGCCAGACTGAAGGAAGCCGTGTAGGGGTCGACTCGGGCGTGGGGCTGCCACACACGTGAGCCAGCCGCCCGCTCCGAGTAAGGTGGCGAAGACGGCGGCTGCCATCACGCTCGGCGCGCTCCTGCGCCGAACGCTGCCATCACCCGCGCCCCGGCCGTCCTGGGTTGGGCCTCCAGGCGCACCGGGCTGGGCCGACCGTGCCGGCAGCCGTTCGATGGCCGGCTCCGGCTATGGCAACCGAACCCAACAGAGGCCGCGTGTCGGGCGGCCCGACTCCCAAGGGGGAGGGGAGGAGAGGGACGTGCGCGTGCCGCAGCGCTGGCTGACGTGGCGGCCGTGGTGCGTCGGCCGCCGCCGCCGCCGCCGCCGCCAGGCCAGGTCGGCCGCCGATCGACGCGGTCGATAAGCGGCGCCGGCCCGGCCCCGCATCGACCCGGCGCGTGACTCGGGGCGCTGCCGGGCGAGCGGCCGGCCGCGGGCCGCCGGGCCGGGCCGGGCCGGGCCGGGCTGGGCCCGCCGCCCGCCTCGCTTCGACGGGCCGGCCGCCGCGCCGCCGCGCCGCCGCCGCTCTTTTATGGCCTGATGGCGGCCGGGCTCGCCTCTTTACGGCGCCGGGCGGCGCGGCCCAGCCAGCGGCGCCGCGACGTACGACGCCGGGCGGCCGAGGCCGGACCGGCCGCCGGCCGCGGGCAGTCCAGCGCCCAGCGCCGCCCGTGTTGTTGACGGTGGCGTGGTTGCGCCGCGTCATCGGGTACCGGTGTGGGCCGGCCGGTGGGCCGACCGCCGCCACGGTGGCGTGCCGCAGAGCGGACACTGCTGCCGTGGGGTGACTGACCGGTCTGTCGCCCCCACGAACGGATGATACCGCCGGCGATGGCGGCCTGGCTCTGACTGAGGTGGTGATGCTACCCTCAGATGACTGATTCACTGACGCGGTTCGGAGTCTGTGGCGGCGCCGTCCGCGGAGTGGGTCACGCGATGGGAAAAACGTTCTTGCCCGTTGGACGTTTCAGAACTTGTTTGCTCGTGTTGTTGGCGGTCACGTTTCAATAGTCATGCTGCTATTTCTGCCTAGTCACCGACGTACCCGCTGGCGGCGCGAGGGCAGAAATGGGGCATCCCTTTGTCCTGCAGGGGCTTCTGCCTGCAGAGGCTCTCTGAACCGGCCGCGCATCGGAGGCCACCTGACGCCGCTCCTGTTTGGGTGGCTTCGGGCTGTGGGCTCTGGCGTCTGTGAGGGCCCTCAGCTGGAGCAGGTACTTGAAACAGAGAGCATGCGCGGCGTGATGGCCACTTCATCAAGCCGAAGAGGTTTGGGTTCGCGAAGAGCTTGGCAACTCGTCACGTTTTCCCAGTCCTCTGCGATAGCTCGCCTCCATCCGGTGCCGCTTGTTGCGATCACGTCCGGGGGAGGGGGGGGGGGGGGGTCTGTGCTTAAACCACATGGCCGGTTTATGCTGCCACGTCCTGTTATGATCCGGAATGGCCTTGCTTTGAAGGCTTTGCATACAGCCTTGCGGTGCTGAGAAGCCCAGCGTCCCGTCAAAGTACACCTGTCTGCGCATCAACTGACGGAAGCGAAGTCGTAGAGCCACTAGTTTCTTGCCGTTCTGGCTTTAGCGGTTGATGTAGGAACCGAAGCTCGTGCTTTGAACGCAGCCGGCGCGCACCATCGGCAGAGCTCGCACGTGACGTCAGCAGAGCCGCGAGCACCTTCCCTTCCGGCTTGTGGTCGGCCGCGCGGTGCGCCCGCCAGCCGGACAGACCGCGCGAACAAGGCCGCTGCTCCGACCGTGCCTTTGTCGACGGGGCACCGCGCAGCGGCCGCCGCCGCCGCCGCCGCCGCCGCCGCCGCTGCCGCTGCCGGGGCGAGGGGAGGGGAGGGGAGTGAGGCGACGCACGCGCGGTACCTGGCCGCGCTCCGTTACCGCCACCAGATGGAGGCCAGGTGTCGGCCGGCCGCCGCCCCGCCCCGCGCCCCGTCAATGCCCCTTTGTTCGCCGGGCCGCCCCTCGGCCGCCATCGGCCGCCGGTGCCCCTTTGTTCCCGCGCGTGTCTATTGAGGCCGCCGCCGCCGCCGTCGGGCGGCGCGGCGCGGGGAACGGGGTCACGGGGCGGCGGGTGCGCTCGGAGGGGAGCGCAGACGCAGCGGCGTCCTGCTCTGTCGCCGGCGCCCGGCTGGTTCTCTGCCGGAGCCCCCTGTCCTCCCCTGCCCTGGCGGCGCACCGGTCCCGCCTTGTGCTCCCTCGCTCTCTCTCAGCGTGCTGCGGCATGGCTGCCGACTGGAGAGCGACCTGGCCTTAAGTGTGCCGGCCGAATGACCTTCAACAAAACGTGCCGTGGAAACCGAAATGTCTTCGTTTCAAGTGTCAAAGAGACGAAGTCGGCCGAAAATTAAGTCTATCATTGAATGGGAGACCGGAATTATATCAGGAGTTTAAAACTCTGAGCCCAAAGTGGTTCATAGAAGGTGTCATTTTCCAACCAAACTTTGAATTTTGACGCACCTCCTTAGCCGGACTTAGAGACTCTTTCCTGCGCCTCGCCTACAGCCAAGGCGACTGGCTCCTGTCTGACAGTCCGCTACGGTGTCTAGTGACGTTCAGCCTGTTGACCGTGATCCACATGCATATGCGGTCGTGTGCTGAATTTGGGCTCGCGATGTATTCCAGGCGCTTCGACCCCCCCCCCCCCCCCACCCCCCACGCAGATCCCAGGCTCTTTATTCCCAGCCGGTAATTGGACTGGCTGACAGCCGCCGTGTGTGCGGCGGCGGACGCTGGCGCAGCGCGGATTGGGGCCGGGCCGGGCGCGGGACGCGCGTGACGTCATCACCGCGACTGACGGCCTGTTGGTTCACCTGCCGCCGCGGCTGGGGCCGGAGCCGGCACAGCTGGGCCGCCCCTCGGCGAGGCACAACACCCGGCCGCCGGCGCCGGGGGGAGGGGGTTCCTGGCACGGCGCGTCCCTCTGCCGGCGCCGACACGCTCGCTGCGGGGGCGGCCGGCCGCCAAAGGGCCGCCGTGACGCCAGGCGGGGGCGGCGAGAGGCCGGCTGGACTCTCGCTCTCGGCTGTCGCAGCGCGGATGCTATTCACGGTGAGGTCCGGACGTCGCGTGAAAAGAAGCGGACCCGCGCGTCGTTTCGGGCCGCGTCACACCCGGCTGCCGACGTCGCGGCGCTGGCACGGCACCGAACCGGAACGAACCGGCCCGGCTCTCCGACGGTGGTCGCGCTATTCCTGATGGCTCGCGCCGCGCCGGGGCGGCGGTCCCGCTGGCCGCTGCGGCGCGGGGCTGCGCGCGCTCCGCGGCCGGGCCCCGCGCGCTCCGCCGGCGGCCGCACGCCGGTCAGGCCAGGCTCCGGCCAGCACCGCCGACGGCGAGGTTGGACTGCGGCGGACGGTGGCGTCCGAGGGACCGGCGACGCCGCTGCGCCGCACGGGCGGACTGTCGCGCCAAAGGCCGTGGTGCGTCACATGTCGGCCCGGCCCTCACGACCGCGCCCTGGCTGCCTGGCCCTAGCGGTGACGGCCGGCTGACGGCCGGCGCGGCGATTGAGGTTGCATAGCGCGCAGTGGGCGGTCACCCGCGCTGTCTCGGGCCCGCCCGCTGCCCGCGTGTGTGGACCGTCATTCATAGGGCGTCCGGCCAGGTCGGCCGGTGTTTTTCTTTGTTTGTCGGGTATCGGGCTGTGTGTACATACATTCGGGGTGTGTTTACGCCGAGGTCATGAATAGCCGCGGGCGGGGGACAGTCGCGGCGCAAACATCAGCAGGAGTGAGCACGGGCAGCGCCGGCGGCGACGGCTGGGCTGCGCAAGCTGGGCGTGATGGCCCGCAGGGTCCTCAGCAGGAGTGAGCACGGGCAGCGCCGGCGGCGACGGCTGGGCTGCGCGAGCTGGGCGTGAGGGCCCGCGGGGTCCTCCCTGCCGCGGGCGGGGGACAGGCGCGGCGCAAACATCAGCGGGAGTGAGCACGGGCAGCACCGGCGGCGACGGCTGGGCTGCGCGAGCTGGGCGTGAGGGCCCGCAGGGTCCTCCCTGCCGGTGTCACG